CAAGCAGGAGTCAAATGCAATTTGTGATTGCAGCTCAGGTAAAGGGATGGCAGCTGATGCCTAAAATCTGAAAATATAGTAAGAAGCACAGGCCTGGTTTTACCTTTGAGGGGAATGGAATGGAGGTAGTAAGATGCTCTAGACGTACTGAAGCATTTGTGGGATATTCAGAGATACCCAATAAGTAGCACAAAACTTGGGCTTGGAGCTCAAGTCTGAGCATAGACAGGTGTATTTGGGAGTTACCAGTAATATGGGTAATAGCTGAAGCCCTAGATATAGAAGACAAACTAGAGAAGCCTGCTTCTTGAAGAATTCTTCCAATGTTTGAAATTTTTATAAAAGGGTTTTTAAAGCAGGAGCATATCTGCGTTGACTGATATGTGCTGAATAAAATGGGAGAACACAGTATATTCTAAAATCAGTGAAAGATAAACAAGGCCTAAAAAAAAAAAAAAAGAGTAAATATAATACACAGTTGATTTTGAAGCTCGCATTCACAGAAGAAAAGTTGCAGCAGTACATTAATTGATATGTAAATCAGAAGCTAGGGAACCGAAGAACAAGGGATAAAAGAAGTGAGGAAAGGCAGTGAGGTGAGAAGAGAATGGGCAAGAGACTACAGGAAAAAAGGCAAGAGTTGTCAAAACAAAATCAAAACAAACAGCCCCCTCCCCCCAAAAAAAACAAAACTTGCCAAACTCTAAGTGAACCAGATGTAAAAAAATGTTGAATGGTTGAGATCAAATGAAAAAGTAAAGGAGCAAATAAAATAAAAACAGATGTATTACAAATCAAGGATGAGAATTGGCAAACAAGATCACAAGAGCAAAAAAGAAAATATAAAAAAGGAATAAAGGGGGAAATGACATGGAAGTAAATAAAAGGAACTGGAATAATAAAATGAAGTTGTAAAAAATAATGTATTTTTTCAAAATAAGAATACTAATAATCTGACAGGACAAAGTGAAATGCCAAGTGATAAGACAAACATGTTTACATCACTATTGAGCATAGTGGTTAGGTGTCAAGCAGCCCTGGATTTGAATGTAAATACCTCTACTTGCTAGCTACATGGCCTTGGGCAAGCATGGAAAATGATTAAAAGGACTGTAATAACACATGTAAAATGCCTAGTATATAAACAAAAAACAAAACAAAACAAACAAACAAACAAAAAAAAACAACCCATTGAAGTCGAGTTGATTCTGACTCATAGCAATCCTAAAGGACAGAGTAGAACTGCCCATATAGTTTCCAAGGAGCACCTGGTAGATTCCAACTGCCGACCTTTTGGTTAGCAGCCGTAGCTCTTAACCACTATGCCACCAGGTTTCCGTGCCCAGTACGTAGTGCTCAATAAACAAAAGTTTATGGGAGAAAAAAAATTAGTCCAGTCTTGATTTCTACGTGGGAATCAAATTCCCAACAACTTTTCTAATCTAAAACAGGAATTGTTACAGTATTTGAAATAAACTTTATAAGAAATGAGTGACTAAATTGCTTGAGATAGTTTTATATTATTGAGTCAACTTTACCTGACAGTAATGAATTAAGAATAGGATGTGAGATTCAGTTTATCCTTGTGTCTCAAACTGTCACAAACTCTACCAATTTTTCTTTGAGGACGATGAGAAGCTATTTGTCTTAGTTAAACTGCAATTACGGAAGTAGTAACATCCTTACCACCAGTGCTTCTTGCCTTTTTGCTGAGCTGTCTGAAAAAGCAGACAGGGCTCAGCCAGTTCTGCTAAACACACGAACCAAAAGCCTCAATTGTATAGCCACCAACATTCAAGCCCTTAGTCATGGAAACTCCCAGTAAAACGGGGATTTAGGTTAGGAGATGTTTTATTTATCCTGTGTGTGCAGAAATGAGAATCCATTTGCCTTAACTTGCTTTTACAAGATTTCCTACTGAATTAGAAGTAGAAAATGTGAATTTCAAGATTCTTAAAGTGTAATTTTGAGGGATTGGGACCAAACAAAAAAATTTTTTTTTTCTGTAGAATCATGTCCCTGAAAGCAAATCTATTATATATATATTCTAATATATATATAACACTGTACACATAATTTTTCAAGAATATATTTTACCTATAAAATTACTTGAAACTGTAAAATTCTTCCAATTTGCCACAGCTGGATAGTTTCCAAAGCTTCTGGATACTTGCCTTTGAGTTCCTATAGAATGGGGGATCTTAACTGGGGGACCATGGACCAGTAGGTCATACAGAGCTCTGTGGAGTCCTTGAATATTCTTAAAATAGTATGTGATGCTTCACGTACATGTACATATGGATACTTTTCTGTGGCAAAGAAATACCTTTCATCAGATTTTCAAGTTAAGCACTGTTTGACATTTAAACAACTAGACTTTGTACAATATGTCAAATATTTCTAAGTTTTAACACCTGTGCAATTTTTTAATTAAAACATGTTATGAAGTCCCTGGGTGGTGCAAATGGTTATGCCTTCGGCTACTACCCAAAAGGCTGGTGGTTTGAATCCATCCAGAGGAGCCTCAGAAGCAAGCCCTGGCAAACTACTTCTGAAAGATCACAGCCCTTGAAAAGCCTATGGTGCACAGTGCTACTCTGAAACACGTGGGGGTGCCATGAGTCAGAACCAACCCAACAGCAAATTGATTGTTTTTTTTTTTTTTTCCTAATGTAGTGCCACAATTACCAGAAAAGCTACTTGTAGGAGCAGTTATATGTCTTCACTTCTTACTGGTTCACACAGTCCTCAACCCTTTGCAAACTGGCTTCTGTTCCCACTTCTCTGGATTATTAAATTCCTGGTTGTTAAATTCAAAATACTTTTTTTTTTGGTACTATATTATTCCATACGTATTATTAAGTTCCTGGTTATTAAATTCAAAATACATTTTTGGGGTGCTTAATTTGACCTCTTCGTGGTATACGCTAGTGGTTAAAAGCAAAGACTTTGGAGCCAAACTGCCTAGGTTCAAATCAGTTCTATCACTTTCCAGCTCTGTGGCTTTGGGCAAAGTACTTAATTCTTCTGTCTCAGAGAACTACTCTTTGTAACGTTTCTTCATTCATAAAACGGTGTGAACGGTACTTACTTCAAAAAGCCAATGTGAGAATTAAATAAGCTCCTAATACAAAGAAAGCACTATGTAAGTATTAGTTATTATCTGGCACCTCTGACCACTTTCGAAAATTGCTTAAAATCTCTCTTCTATGTTTCATTTTGCCTTTGATGGTTCTCAGTTTCATCCCCCTACTTCCAAGTTTGTTCCTCCTTAACATATCTTTATGTTATGGCCAAAATAATCGTTTGATGAAACTATTAATCTGATGCCATCCCTTGCCACAGCCATTACCATACTCTAAACACCTCAGCATGGCAGACAAGTCCCTTTATGATAATGCACTGACCGAGTTCTCCTTCCTCATGTCTTCCTTCTCACTTGCCTATGTTCACCCTCAGAGTTAAGCTGAACCAAGTCACTACAATCCCCAAAATGTGCCTCATTCTCTTAACTCATGCCTTTGCACATGCTGACTCTGCGTAAAGTGTCCTATTCTTCTTCTTTAGAAAGTTTTCCCTCACCACACTCCTTCCCAAAAGTAAATTAGACGTCCTTTCTTAATGCACCTGCATAGTATTCATCACATTCTATTTGAGATACCTGTTTGGTTGCTGACACATTTTATCTAGTCAGATCTTCCTACTGTCTCCTATAAAGAACAAAAGTGGGAACCTTATGATAGTCTTGTTCTCTCATTTGTCTACCTCCATAATCTTAAAGCATTTTCTTATTCTTTTGTTCATCATTTCCCCCACCACTTCTCATTTTTTAATTAACCCACCGAGATTAGGTAGAAATGTACCTAGAAAAAATACATGTATACAGTAAGTTAACCAGATAACAAAACTCCACACTGAAGTGAACATTCTAGAAGTATTTATTTCATTGCTGACCATTAGGTTGCAGCATGCAACTCTAAACGAGCTGCCACTCTTCACTCCTATAGAAGCACCAAATGTTATGGTACCACTACTCAGGTTTTCAGCCTTTCAGCGGCTTTTATTACCAACATTATTACTTAGAGACAAAGCCTTTTAAGGACTTAAAAGCACTTATTCTCTATAAAAAGTACTGTATTTCATGCACAAAACTCAAATTGGCACATTTAGGTCTAAAATGGAAAAAGAAATCTTTTTATTCTAGTTCTGTAAATTATCAGGAATATAATAAGCATTTCTCCCTGCCTTGCTATAAGGAAATAAGAATTTTTTAATCAGGGCAGTAGCTTTGACGATCCCGTAGAGTTAGAAAATTGCTTACTAGTTAAAGTTCCTTTCAAAGATGCTGAGACAAGTTGGCTCATTTTCCTATATAATTTAAAGAAATATCTGCAGTATGTGTAGGACTTAAAGGTTATATTGTAGACCCTTGTGATAATATTGGAAAGGCTTATTCTCACCACTTAAAAAATTCTACCTCAGAAGGTAAAGAAAATCCCCATCATCCCTGAGCAAAAAAGAGAAAAATCATAGGTACTTTTATTAGTTAACAGGAGCCACTGTAAATGAGTTACCTATCTCTAGAGCGTTCTTAAAGAATTTCCATAAACTGAAACAGGAACAAGGTGCTCTGAAAGTCTTGCTCATATAAATGTATTAGTAGTTTGAGTAGTTGCTCTACAAAAACTTTAAATTTAATTCATTACACAGATGAACATTTCCCATTTTGAAATTTGAGAATATCCTGAGAGGATATTTATGGGACATTAAACTATTGGGAACAGGAATTTTTTAAATGTTGGCAAATTACAGCAGGAAGAAAACAAAGAACGGGAAAACCATAGTTGGGAAAGTGAGGAAGGGGTAGAACAAAGACGTAGTTAATGAGCTGGGTCTTTCTTCTCACTCAGCCAGGTGCCTCTGGCTATCCATATGCTCTCTTATATTAATATAAACCAGACAGTGAAAAATAAAATTAAGAATGTCCCAAACTAATTTAAGTCTTTTGTTTAAGGAGTAAATGACAGAAAACATTTTAGCTTCTTAATTAAGGAGTGCTATGATACAATTTCAAGGCATCATAATATAATTCATTTAATCCTAAAGCAATTGTGCAATAAGCAAATATTATAAAAGGAAAGTAAGGGTTAACTTCCTACAGGGGCCAAAAGACAAGCTCTGTGCAGCACAGCAAATAACCTTCACGCAGGAGTCTTGTTTGAAAGACCAACAAAAATTCAGATTATAGAAAATCAGAAATGTCACCAACAAAAGGAATGTTGATTAGAATCAAAAACTTCCCATTGGGCTGTCTTCTCTGAAGGAATTTCAGAATTTTGCTAGCACAGGTTGGTTAAGCCAAATCTCACTGATGGCTCCATTAGAGAATGAGAATGCCCCAGTCAGTGCTGTTTAAAGAATGTAAAATGCTGGGAGGGAAAAAACAAAATGAAACAATCTACTGTTCCCTAACATATATGGCTTAGCACCCAGAGAAAGCCTCTGCCCCCAAGAGAGACTTTCTACATAGGGTTAAGCTTCATTAAATGAGGTGTGACCTTTCATTTTCAGGACACGTCTTTCCTCCCAAGGTGTTTAGAGGCAGAAGTTCCACATGGGTTCTAATGTGGATTCTAATACACATCCCTGTGAGCTCAGCTTCCTGAAAACATACACCTGCCGGGTTCTAGGTTCTCCTTGCCAGGGACCAGATTTGCTAGTTCACAGCCACCAGAACCGCACATACACTATTAACATGATGAAAAACACAGCTACTGCTGCAAGTTTGGCATAAGTGGAACGCATGTTCAAGTACTTTGCATCCTGGCGGTATTTCTTGGACAGACTGGACAAATTGTTAGCCTTTGAATCCAATGCTGTCAAAGAGGAAAAAAGGAAAACATTAATTAGCCCCTGGAAGTATTTTATGAAAGTACTAAGACATAAAAAGAATCAAAATAAGTGACATTCTATCAAATAGGCAATTAATTATAGAGGACTATTTAAGCAAAAGTTTTATTATTATTTTTTTTAGTAGTATAATGTATCTTTTCTTCATCCTATCAATATTAAACCTCAGAAAATAGTTGTTTCTTGTTGGGACCTAAGTACTAAGCTTAAGCACTTTGTAAGTATCAGTTACCATCTGCTGCCTCTGACTACCCTCCTCTTGAAAACTGCTTAAAACCTGTCTCCTATGTTTCATTCTCCCTTTGATGGCTCCTTAGTTTCATCTAAGCACTTTGCTTTAAGAGGACTGAAAAAAGGCAAGCAAAGAAAAGAAACAGAAGGAAAGCAATGCCAAGGAATGATATCAAACTTAAAATCTATATCCAAACTATTATTAATCTTAATTTATCATTTTTATTTTAAGGCTAGGTTACATATTGATTAACTCATGATTCTGAAGTACTGTAAAATCTATAGTACATTTTAAAATTATCAGACCAAATTATGTTCAAATTCTCGAGGCTGTATAGGAGCACAGACTCTGGTGTCAGACACTCTTTGATTCAAGTATCACCTGCACCAGTCAAGTCACTTATCCTCTCTAAGACCCAGTTTCTCCATCTATAAAATGGGGATGATAACAAAGCTACATCTTAGGAGTGTAGATATGTAAGGATGCACGTAAACTGAAAACAATGTCCGTATGCAGTAAACACTTGATAAATGTTAGCTGATATTATTATAATAATTGTTATCATCTTCACAATCTTTTAATGGTCTAATAATCTCTCATATTTTAAGAAATGATAATCCATGTAAGATAAAACTCAGGTAAGCAGAAAATTCAATTGACCAGATACTGAGTATTAAGCTAAACCTCAGTGGTGGCTGCTACCAAATTTTTAAGGATCTCCACATAGTAAAGACTATTATGAAGGTAAAGCTATCAGAAATTACATTTGAACAGATATAGGAAAATTGGCATCTGTTGTTAACTTTTCCATCATAAATACAGGCAGATTTTAAAAACAAGAACAACTCTCAGTTTGACATAAATGGATTGTGATCAAACTTTTCACTTCTTTAAATTTTTGAAAAACTATTTTGCAATCTGAATTTGTTTGTTCTTCCTTAGATAATGCTTTTGGAATATCTGGAGTTGCTTAATAGAGGTTGGTTTTGATTGGGAAATGTACTATTACTTAACATCACAGGCATGGTAGCCACTCTTAAATTGGCAGCTGGTCTTGTGAGTAAGAAAAACACCTAGTCACATAAGAAAACAGTCAGGGGGTGAGAATAACGTAACAATGCTGCAAGGAATCTTTCTAGCCAATCTACTAGAATGTATACTCCAGTTGACAGGGGTTTTCAATTACTGTGTTCACTGCTATATCCACAGTGTCTAGAACAGGGCTTGAGTCAGTGCTCTATAAATGTTTGCTTGAATTTAAATCTGCTGAGAATAACTGGGCAGAAGAATAATTATGAGATCACAGAAAATAAGTAATAGTTAAGATAATTCCTCTACACAGGAAAATTCTGAAACAGGTGAAATCATAAAGACACAGCTATTGCTTGGAAAAGTCATTTAGCAAATATTTATGTTATAGGCACCTTTCGAAGTGCAAGAGGACACAATGATGATCAAAGCATATATATGTTCCCTGCCTTTGTAGAGTTTATAGTTTACACCTTAGAATGGAAAAAACAAAACAAAAACAACCACAGCTTAAAAGGAATTGGTTTATTTAGGTAGTAAAAAAGGACATAATTTGATCTTGCTGAAAAAACCAACAAGAACTACTCTTGAGTCTTAAATGGAAAGTAGACTAACTCTAAAACATCAGAAATTAGAAAGAGAAGGCATAAAAGATGAATTCTTATTGTGAAAAAGCTTAAAGAGGAAGAAAACATTCCCTGAAGTTGATTAATGTCCTCATTGCCCTTCAAATATGTTTTTCCCTTCACTTAAAACACTATTCTCACTCCTTCCTAATCTATCTAATTTTAGGAAATCCTTCCCGTTCACTTCACATTTATCTACTTCCCTCTACATTTTTATAGATCTTATTGTCTAAATATCCATTTAAAACTATCATACATTGAAGATGGATAAAGATTGTGGAGGCCAACAGGTTATGCAGGGTACTAGAAGTGTGGCTCTTAGTAAGCTACTTAACTTCTGAGCCTCTACTTCATCTGTAAAACTGGTTCGATACCACCGACTTCTCATGGAATTATTATAAAGATTAAATAAAATAGATGTAAAGTACCCCTAGTATATTGCCTAGCACAAAGTAAGTGCTCAATAGACGTTTATTCCCTTATACTGTCTATTAATTACTCTGTGAGAATGTTACTTATCATCTCAGCAAGACCAAGCTACTTAAGGGTAGACATATCTTCTTTGTCAATCAGCGTATCAGCTTTGTTGCAAGTAGCAAGGCACTAGAAGAGAATCCTTTACATTGTTGATTAACTGACCAAGATATATATTTTAGATTAAAGAGAAATCCCTATGCTGGTCTACTTTACATCAGGTAGAAGCTTTAAATCTGTTACAATGAAAATTTACATGGACTCACACAACCCAAACTGATGTTCACAGAGTGTGAAGCTATATGCTGGGATAACTGCTGATTACCAACATGAAGGTTAAAGCTTGCAGTTTATAATAAAGAAAACTCCATTTACTAATGAACTATGTAGCAAGGCTGAATTCAAGAAATACTCATTATGGTATCTATTTGTGACTATTACTGTGAGAGATATAAAAGATATATATGAAACAGATATGAGACAGATAAACACTACCTTAAAAGAGCTTGCATAACCACATTGAACAGGTAAAACATACACACATATTTATATATACATCCATACACACACATATACACACACACACACGATTATGTGCTAAAAAACATCATGTAGCTAAGTGCTGTTAAGAGTTTAAAGGACAGAAGAGATTGAAGAGATGTGGGGTGTAAGGATCAGGGAAGGTTTCTTTGAGGAGGCAGCTCTTGACCAGCATAAGGTGAGAAAAGATCATTAAGGATGGTGAGGAAGCTGACCTGGCTAAGATAGAATGTTTGTGAACACTCAATAAAGCACAATGCCTTGCACATAATGAGCACTCAACCACGAGTGAATGAATGAGAAGTTGAGATCAGACTGGATTTTATCTTGTAGTCACAGATTTTAAAAGTTTTTCAGCAGAGGAATGCTCTGACGAATGTGGCATTTACAAAGATCCATCTGGCAGCAATAAAGTTTCTCAAAGAGGCTACTTAGGAAACCACTGCAATAAATCTTTGACAATTTCTTCATTCTTCTTTTCGCTTTCCTTAACTTGTACAAGTGTTTCTGTACATAATTTACTTAATTTTGTAAATACCTTGGAAACAGTGATTGCTTCTGTTATGTATAAGTCCTTTACATTGCTCCAAGTCAACAAAAACTAATCATAGCAGGGAAAAAATATATAGTAGACGATTTTTAATGTAATCTATTTCTAAGAGATGAATTCTTAACAGTGCTACACTCTCACAGCACAAAAGTACCCCCAGAAGAGCTATCCTTGCATCATGGAATGAAACCACTTCTTCCTCAGACTCTTATTGGTTTGAGATACCTGAGAGTGCCTCTCCCCGTTGTAACACTTCTTCAATATTGGCCACCATGATCCTCTGCACATCTTGCAATTCAGTGTTGATGGAGCCAAGGTTTCTCCGAGCACGACTGTCAATGTAGAGTTTTTTGGTTTTCTGAATGTAGGTATCTAGAATGAAGAAGAAAATGGCCATTAACAACTTCTTTCATGCCCATCAAAGTATTGAAGGAGGGAATTGGAAATTCTGAGTTTGGTCCTAGATTTGCCAATGTCCATGGTTAACCAAGCCCTTGGGTGAGCATCAAAATGTGGGCTTTAATTTCTTCATTTGTAGCACGTAAACAAATAACTAGATGACCATTCAAGGGAAACGTCCTTTGCACATCTCTGAATTATAAGTATTTGCCATCAGGATCCTTACAGAAATTAAGACATACTATAGCAAACTTCGTGTAGTAGTTAAGTGCTACGGCTGCTAACCAAAAGGTCGGCAGTTCGAATCCACCAGGCGCTCCTTGGAAACTCTATGGGGCAGTTCTACTCTGTACTATAGGGTTGCTATGAGTTGGAATTGACTTGACAGCAACGGGTTTTGGTATAGCAAACTTTCCTGAAAGCAGAAATTTTCAAACTGTATTCTGAGGCCATTAGAGTTTTATTACTTAACTCTATATACTCCCTGAATGAAAGGATGCTGGTAGTAATCTAGCAACCTTACAGCCTAACATGGTAAGAGTTACACGATCATTAAAGTCTTTTCTTCTGCACACATCCCATATTTCACCCGTTCTTAAACTTCAGGTAAGGCAAACATGAGCTAGGCAGTCTCCCAAAATATCTCTATAAAATTGCAGTCACTTCCATCTTTAGCCCTGTATTTCTCAAAACTGTAAGAAAAATGGCTTATTACTGAAGATTATATTTTCAACATTTGGCAAAAATCTTAAATTACATGTGCTATATACTTTTCATTTCTCTCTTTAGAGCTCCTCTCCACCCTTCTGAGCCTGCTCTCTGCCTTGGGAAGCTGGCCTGGATGGACTACATCAATGGGCTCTTTGCCTTCTAGGCTTCAGTTAGGTTCAGGCAACAGAGAACCCCAGTAGTATGGAAGAAAGGGAATAGAGAATCATGTCAGGGTGTTTATTCTTCTAGCTCCTCCCTGAGAAATCACTTTGGGCTGGCACTATCCCTCTACCAAAGTTATTGCTCCTCTCGAGTTGGCCTTCTCTATAAATTCTTTCCTTCCCAGTTCCAGAATCTGCTCCTTCTCCTCATTCCTTCAGGCCTACGGATGGTAATAACTACCATGTTATTGGCCTTGGAGTCCCCTTATAACCTATTTATACCTTTGTATACAGTCCCTTAAGCTAATCTGAGTGTATTATCTATTTCCTCTGTGGCCCTGATAGATCAGTCTTAATTTTTTGCGGGGGAGGGGGAAGGGGTATTGGAATTTTTTTTTTCTACAAACTAAAATTTGAAAAACCAGACATTATATAGATTATTACTTGGAGAGAATTTGTAGTCACAGAACACTGGATTTCTTTTGCTATATTTTCTCTATTTCTAAAAAGCAAAATGACCCTCTAATCTAGCAAACTGGAAACACTTCAGAAATTTTAAGAGTGAAACAAATTTCTCTTTTAACTAAAAATTCCAGCAATGTAGCCTGATCCTATTTGTCCTCACTTCCTGTACTTAGGACATTCTACTGTCACCAAATATTTCACCAGGTCTGATCAGTGACGAGTCTTTCTATAATTCTATAATATGGACACCCACATATTTCTGCATGTAGCATGTTTCTCTCCAATACCATATACCTTCTAGTACTCTTGTTTTTAATTATAGAATCATATTCTAGTTAAAAACAAAAAACAAAAAAAAAACCACCATTCTGTCTGAAATTTCTAAACTCCCAAATTCTGATCTCCATAAAACGACCCTTACTGTGAATGCATGTGTGTATGCGTGTCTGTGTGCAGCGTGTGTGTGCATCTATCTGTCTGTGGGCTGGGGAAAAAAAGACCTTAGCAATTTATATGCCAATCAAGTAGATCTTTAGGCACACACCCTTGCCCCACGTAACTCTAATGAAGAATTAAACAACAAAAAAGGGTAAAGGACAGCAAGTTCCATGGGGAAAAGATAAAAAAAAAAACTATAGAAAGTCACTTATAAGAAGGAATCCTCATTCATGCAAAAGGACATAAAGAGGTAGAATGGGAGAGGCAGCAGAATCTAAAACGTCAGTAAGTAAACCTCACTAAAAACGTGTCAAAATTATATCAGTCTAACAAATAGCTTCTCCATATTGTTTGATCCCGTGATAAGGAAGCAGAAAGCAAAAACTTACCAAACTCAATAAAGGAATAGGGTCTAGACACAGTGGGCACCTTCTTCCCATGCTGTTCATCAAATTCTGAGTGCAAATCTTCTAGGTAGGCAAAAGCCAACTTCTTAGGGAAGGCAGCTTCACACAAAACCAAATAACACACACCCTGCTCAATAATGTAGCTAGAGAGACAAAAAAGCAAAAAAAAAGTTGTTTTTAGAGTAACAGTACCTCTAACAGTTTGAAGCAGACTCTCAGTACCATACAAACTTTTGAAAATATCAAGCCTAAGCCTTTTGAGGCTGGCTAAATCAGAAAATCAATTTCACATCACAAGTGCTTAGAATCAGAAAGCAAGCATCTTTCATTATATTCCAAAAAGAGTATTTAGACATGTTTATTATACCTGTTTATTCATCTACACAATTCCTTAACTAAAATATTTTAGTATCTAAGACTATTTCTTGAAAACTCTGAATTACAACTCCATCTACCCTTTGACTATATAGACGGTAGATTAGTATATACATATTTAAACTCCTTCTAACCATAAAGAAAATCAGCGGAACTGAAAATTTTCGTGGATACTGTTATGGATTGAATTGTGTCCCCAACAGGATATGCTGAAGTACCAACACCTGGCATTTGTGAACATGACCTTTTTGGAAATAGGGTCATTGAAGACAGTATCTATTAATATAAGGTCATACTGGAGTAGAATGGGTCCTAATCCCACCTGAGTTGTGTCTTATAAAAGATAATTGACACAGAGAGTCAGACAGAAGGATGGCCATGCGACTGCAGAGGCAGCTGAAAGCCAGGATTGCCAGGTACAATCAGAAGCTAGAAGAGAGGCATAGAACAGTTTCTCTCAGAGCTCTCAGAAGAAATCAACATAGCAGATACCCTGATTTGGACTTCTAGCCTCCAAAACTGTGAGACAATAAATTTCTCTTCTTTAAGCTACTCACTGTGTGGCATTTTGTTACAACAGCCCTAGGAAACTAAGACATACCTAAAAGCTGGAGGTTAATGGCACAATATTTACTGGGTACAGAAAACAATGACCTCAGGACTCATCACATTCCCTAATTTCCAGGGGAAGAGAACTCTGTATTAGCTAAAGGCTATCCAGAACAGAGCAGACCTCCTCTTGTGACAGTGAGCTCTACAGCACTTGGGAAGGAGGTATATGACATGTCTGAGATATTCTTAGGAAAGAGGTTAGGCTACTCAGTGGCTTTTCAAACTTCTTTTTAGCCAAAGTACTCTTTACATTTCTGGCCTCTCTATGGTGGCTCCTGAGGCATCACAGGGCTCCACAGAGCATGGTTTAAAGATCACTATATTCTATGATCTCTCTGGCCCTTTACAAAAACTAAACAGTTCTGCTGTCCTACCTCTTGCTTGGGCACCTGAATTAACCAGTCTCCTTACCTTAAGTCTAGACTACCTCCTATATGTTGTCAGTTTTACTCCTAAAAGTAAATCTGACTATATTACTCCCCTTCAAAACTCTAGGGGGTTCCTTAATACCTATAAAACAAAATCATAGTCCTTGATATAGTATCTGTAACCCTTCACAACAAGCATAGGCTACATTCCATCATATATCCTAACACACCAAATGGCATGCTGTTCTCCAACAAGCAAGGTTCTTTTACGTCCTCACGGACTTCTGCTTATGTTGTTTTTTCTAATTGTAATGCTCCTTTATGGACTTGGAGAAAGCCTGTTTATTTTCAAATGCTCAACTCTACTGTAATTTCCTCTGTGATACTTCTGTATTCTCCCACTCTCTATCCCCTTTCCTCATACTTACCACCCACAAGTGGGAATTTATTGCTTCCATATCTCTGCTCCCAAAGCATTTAACTCATATTTTAATTATAGTACTTCTTGCCCTGAGGTATTATATTTGTTTGTTTATGTGACTTTCTCTGCAAATTAGAGAATAAGCTCATTAAAAGGTATGGACATTAAACGCAGGACTTAATTTAAGATCTGGCAAAGAATAAACCTTTAGCAGATAGCTCCTGGATGGAAATAAAGGATGGGGTGAGACTATGAAGATCTCAAAGGAACCAGGCAAAAGAAAAACTCTTCTCAATTCCATGAGAACTTTCTAGAACTTTTGCTCCCTAATCCAAGGTAGAGGTGAAGATACTATATAATTAAGCACCTACAATATTTTTTGGCATTGAAAATTAGATTAATAGAAACTGTTTCAGACATTACACAAATACCTTATGAAATTTAATGTCCACTATTTTCTTAACCAATAGGTGAGGGTTTTGTTCGTTTGGTATACTCATTTGTTTTTTGGAGGAGGGGAGGTGTTTTTTTTTTTTTTTTTTAATTAAACAAAGCAAGTTCCTATCTC